AGGGACCACCTATGCCACATCAAAGCAATGCCAACTTGATTGTATTTAGCATAGGAATTTTTTGGTTTGTTTTGAGGTTTATTTTTTTATGCTAGCTATGCATGCTTAGGGGTAATCGATATAGCAGTAGCTATTTTACTCTACCAGTAAGAGTAATAGTGAAGTCCCAACAGCTCTTTATATTGAAGAACCTTAAAAAGTTGAAGCCTTTTATTACTGAAGAGAATGCTTTTTTTACTTTTTGTATTGAAACTTATGCAAAAATATATTTCTTTTTTGTTTTGTTTTTAAAAAGTTCTGTTAAAAGTATTATACACTTCATAGAAATTTTTAAATTAATTTAGGATTTTCATAACGCCATTGAGTTGAACACTTCTTTTTGTCCGTGTGTCATGTATGATCCAAGAGAAACACGTGAAATAGTATGCAGGCGTGCATCTTTGTTTAATGATGGGTGCTGTTTCTTTCAGAAGGTGATGCTCTTTTAAAAAGCCTCCATACTCGCCCAGAAAGGTTTACAAGTCACATAAAAAATCTTGAAAAAGAAGATGCTTTATTGAAGGAAGAAAGCAGTACCTATGATGATATCATTTTTGTAGATGTTATTGACACTTACAGAAATGTTCCAGCCAAACTGCTGAACTTCTACCGATGGTAAGTCGAAAAGAAAGTATTTCCTTTTGTGAATGCTGCTGTTCGTAGTGTGAGGTGATCCAGCTTGTTACGTTACCTGGCAGTTACCATGAAATACATACCTTATGTGATTTAATTCATTAAGTTGTATTTCTCTCTCTCAGTTTTGGAGGCATGTAGTGAGTAAAGTAACAGAATGTATATTTCTTGAATGCTGACCCTTGGTGCCTCAGATAAGCAAGAGCTGGCAAGTGGCAAGACAGGCTTCTGCTCTGAGTCCAGGTGTGAAAATTTTCACGTCTCCTTGTAATTTCTTTTAATTAATTTTTGACTGAAAACTAGCAGCTTTAGTCTTTTAAAGGGTGGCTTTTGGCGAGCGTGTATACTTAGTGTTTCAGTTTGTGGCTGTTGATTCTGGTCCTGTCACTGGGCACCACTGAAAAGAGCCTGGCTCCACCTCTTTGCATCCTCCCTTCAGGTATTTACATATGTCGATGAGCTCCCCCCTGAGCCTTCTCTTCTCCAGTCCCTCAGCCTTTCCTCACAGGAGAGAAAATTCAGTCCCTTAATCGTCTTGGTGGCCCTTTGCTGGACTGTCCATCCAGTGTGCCCGTGTCTCTCTCATATTGAGGAGCCTAAGACTGCACGCTGTACTCCAGGTGTGGCCTCCCCAGTGCTGAGCAGAGGGGAAGGATAGGAAGCTTGTGTACAGGGGGGATGGAAGGCTGAGAGGAAGAATTTTCATAGTCTGTGGTGAATCTAATACGTTATTACCTCTAATTTGCACTTCTTTCCATTACTGTGAGACAACTGTTCCAATTAATTGATATTGCTGTGGAGTAGAAATACAGCTGACAGTTTTAGTTGCTTGCAAGATTATGCACTTATTTAATAAATTTCATGGTTATGAATGTAACTGAAAAACTGAACCATGCTTTCAGTTCTAAAAAGGGAGTTTAAATGTCAAGACTTGGATCTTTGTGATAATTTCTTACAGGTTAGCAAATTTTTCAAGATTTAGTAATTAGAAGGGTTAAGGAAAATGCTTTTCTTGTTAAGAGAAATGACCCTTAAAAACAATGTTTGTTACTGAACCCAGGAATAATCCCTAGGATCTCAAGCTAGAGATATTCAAGTATTTCAGACAGATAAAGATTACTTTTTTTCATATTTGAAGGATACTTTACTGAGGGAAGAGTAAGTACCAAGTTGTTTCCACAGATGTTTCTTACAACCTTCTACAGTTGTTTTGCCCTTGAACAGACGGTCTTATCCCAAAGAGTGGGCTACTGACATGTAGCCACTGGCTTTTAACAGCTGTGCCGCCCTCATCTTCAGGGATTCATATCCTTCTGGGGTCGATACTGTTTAAGATGGATTCATTAGTAAATCCACCATCTGTCCTGGAGAACAAAACTTGAAGTTTGTTTTCTTTAGCTCGTACACGAATCCATGTTGTAGCATCATCACAGGATACAGCTGCATCTCCTTTCTGTAGGATGAGCGGTCAGCCTTGGTCAATAGGGAAAGTCAAGGGCAGGAAAGACATTCCTTCCCTCTTTCTTCCCCCTCTGCTTCCCAAAAAACGCTTGTGGAGTGTTCTGTTGCGTAACTGTAGTTTGTGGGCTGCAGCGCAGCATCTCATCACTTTTCTTTTTGGCTACAGGACAGTTGAATCAACGAGTTTTGATTTGTTGCTGAAGACAGATGATGACTGTTACATTGATTTGGAGGCTGTTTTTAACAGGATAATGCAGAAAAAATTGGACAGGCCAAACATTTGGTGGGGAAAGTGAGTTGTTTTTTTAACTTGTCTTTAAGAGATACCATGTCTTTAGTGAACGGTTTACTGCTTTAAGTCTGTTTTCATGTGGATTCCCCTTTTCTGCCTGTGGAAGCTAGTTATAAAAAGCAGGACTTTTGTATGTGTAAAACTTTGAATCTCAGAATACAGAAATCAGTCCTTTGCAATAGCTTTCCAGAGTGTGCCTTTACAATGAGTTGAACTTGCTAAATATCTTGCCTAGTTTTAAAATGTGTTGTATAAGTCTTCGTCATGGTGCTTAAGTAAATAAAAGTATTCCAGCAGTACAGTAAAGTTAAAAGGCAAGTACATACTAGAATTGTAAAGGTTACTTTTTTTTTTTTTTTTTTTTGGAAGCTGCTGTGTTTTTTCTAGTGGGCTTGAGGAAGTGGGGTAAACAGGAGAAACAAAATTGCTTTTCTAGTCTGGGCTTTATTTTGAAGTCAGTGAATGACAAGCATTGCTACCTGTTTTGCTGCTGTCTGAAATGGTCGATCTCATTCATGAATTCTTGAGGGAAGTTCCCCAGCCTGTATTACACTTGTGAATAACTGGGAGGATCAAAATAGCCCGTCTCTTCCCTTCCATCCATGGTATGCATCGCTACACTGGTGTAACGTCCAATATAGCACAAACGCTATGCTGCTACAACATTCAACACAGCACAGCAGCACGATGTGCCTTCCTGTTGCCTGCTTGCTGAAGAAAAGCTGGCCTTTGCTGCTAGAGGCATCTTGCTCCACAAATCTGGTACTGACTGTTGCTTACTTCTAAGGTCATTTAATAAGGGGTGTGGGAGCATGTGTGTGCAGAATAGCCGGCTATCTTGTGATGAGCTCAAAGATCTGAGTGGTGGGCACGTGTTCTCTAGTCTGTAGAAAAACCCTGATTGTCTGGTGCCTGTTAATTTTTCTTGGGACTACCTTTACCACAAGGCAAGTGAAGGTAAGATAGGTTCATTCTAGCAAGGTAAAAGGTCAGGAACTTGATGACAAGATGGAAACCAACTTGCAAAAGGAAAAATAGCACTATGTATAAGCTG